TTCTTCTCCCCGACTCCCCCGAGATTCTGATTCTTACCTCTGAAGTAAGGGCCTAGAATCTGTATTCTGAATAAGTATTTTAGATAATTCTTATGAATAGTAACTGAAACAGTTATCTGTAATAAAAGATGCCCATCACAATCACTGGGAAGTATACATGTCCCATGCACTACCTAATAAATCTTCTCCAGAAGTAGGACAAAAGAATGTGAAATAAAGATGTCCAGGTAATCCTGATACACATCCTAGTAAGTAGTCAGTTTTAAAAGAATGAAAACATATCCTCCAAGCCAATCTCTAGCTTACAGATATTCTAGATTGAAAAATGAACAATCCAAATGCTTTAATAGGCATTTAAGTTTTCTAAGTTTTCTGAGTTGATGACAATCTCCTATGAAGGTTGAGGGACCTAAAAAAGAAAGCCATGTCTTTTTTTTGTCTCTCATTAGCAATGAGCAAAGGTATAATCCACAGGTAGACTCAAATATACCTTAGAAAACAATTCTATCTCCAAGATAAATAAGTGATCCCTAAAGTTCTATGCCACAGAATGTGGCTAAAATAATTTAACCAGAGACACAGTTAAATCTAAATGCCCATGTTGGCCATTAAAAAAAACCACAATAAGTAAGCCAAGAATATTTACTTAATGCACTAGTTTTCTAGTCGTTCTGCCAAAACTCACTAGTTGTAAAATGTACGTCCATGTAACTAATATGTTGACCCATTATGTGGTTGTTATGAGCCAGTTAACAATTGGAGGATATCTGACGAGCTGAAGTTTAAAAAGTTGATTTTAATTCTTCTTTTGTCAAGTAATGAGACTATTTGGACTTTAGAGCCACTCCTTGTGTTTAAAGCCACTCCTAATTAATGACAATAAAATTATTAGATTAGCATAAAAAATGCCCATCTTTCTATATTCTATTATGTATATTTACCATAAATATTTAGGGAGGCAGAGGGAACAAAGGAAAAAGCTTTGCTTTAGTCTCATTAGAAATCAGTACAGGACCTGTTAAGAGTCCATTTGTATCCGCACTGACTATGCTACTCAAGTATATTTTGATTTAATTTAACTGTTTTGAACAAAAGAATTTTTAAAAATCCATTTATAGTATTCTTCTCCATTTCCCTCAAAAAGGGAGAACAGGTAGCAAGAATTTTCAAGATCCTCAAAGATGAACTTACCGCCCAAGAGGCTTTCTTGTATTTTAGAACCTCACAATTTCCACTTCCCTTGTGGGACTTAGGATTACAGTACCCTAAAAAAAGTAAACATTAAAAAGGCATCATCATAATAAGGAATTACTATTAATTTAAGCAGGTGTGATAATGGAATTGCAGCTGTGTTGTAAAATGTCCTCATTTGTTAGATTATTTACAAGTAAAATGATGTCTGGGATTTCTTTTACAATATTGTACCTCAGTACACACACACAAGGTGGGATGGACATAAAAGAAATAAGACTGTCTTTGAATTGGTAACTCTTGAAGCTGGATGATGGCTACACATCATTACACCATTCTCAATATTTTTATATACACCGGAAATTTTCCATAACAAAAAGATAAACCAACAAAAAGCATTATCTTTAAATATCATTAATTTTAAGAATGATTATTTTGAGAGTCTTTTGAAAGATATCTTAAGATGCTGAATGAAAGATTTGATGTTACAAAGTAAAATTTTTTTTCAAGTTTATGAAGTGCAGGTAGATAGGAAAAAATATCACAACTGAAAGAAAAATCAGTTAAAAGTGAACATTCACATAATAGGATTATTTAGGGAATGCTAAATACATATATTTCAGCAGTGAAAACACCAAGTGCAGCTGTAAACCTAAAACTCCAAACCAAATACAATTCAACCTTTACCTAGCCACCGCCTACGCAAGTTCATGGCAGGCACGGAGAGAGGCAGAGGACTTAACCATTACATATTACAGTTAAAATCAATAGCCAAAAGAAAAGGGGCGGGAACGTGGTACTTGAGCACACGGTCCAGAGGCAAACGTCTGGGATCTTATCTCGGCTTCGTCACTTACAGGCTGGGAGCTTTCCAAACTCAGTTCCTAAAAGTGGGGACGATAACAGTACCTACCTTACAGGGTTGCTGGCAGGTTTAATTATGAGTATGCATGCAAAGAACACGCGGCTCTTAACTGATAGGGCCTGAGGGTGTTATTAAGGACGGAGATTTTTGGAGCCGGCCGGGGCATGATAAGGGCGCCGGCGGCGAGGAAGGACCAAGCTCGGTCTCCGCCCGCTCGTATCAGAGCCTGAGCCTCAGGCCCAGAGGATGCTCGGGATTCTTTTAGGCGCCCATTTCAGGCTCCAGTTCCGATCTCCGCTCAGCCTGGGGCCCAGCCTCTGGGCGTCGGAACCATTCTAGGCCACTGTTCCTCAGGTCCGACTCCGGAGCAGGAACCTGCAGAGCGCGGAGAGACAGACACGCTCACCGTAACCTCCACCCCAGCCCGGCCAGGCTTCCATCCGGGTTCTCCGGATTGCTTCCCGCCTGCAGACTGGGCGAGAGGTCTCCCCGCACGCAGGCGCAGTAGCAGCTGGCTGAGGGAGCATGCCAGCTGCTACCCGGCTGGCTTGAGTAGGGAGCATGCGCGCTGGTCGTCCCCACTTTTTTTAAGATTGTGTACGTGGAGCTGGAGGATTTTTTTTGTATCTGCCAGAAAGGATGAATCATAGAATCTCAGGAATGGAAGACACTGAAAAGTCCACATAGTTCTACTTTCTAACATTCAGAGCACTGGAAATAAAATTTTATACTGTCAGGACTTGGAGATGAAAAAACTCCAATAACTACCATGTTCCATGTGGAGTCAATGAGGAAAAAGAGGACGCTCGTTGCACTCCCAAATCAAACATTCAGGCAAATGAGGCAGGCTTTAAATTTCATTATGATACTCACAGTGGAGGATAAACTTCCACCGCTTGTGTCCTGTTGCCCATGCAAGTCGCCCCTCATCCTGTAAGTTAAAGCATGTGGATCAATTTCCTAAGAATCATCAGTCCATCTCAGAGAATAGATTTTAATTTTATATAAAATTCTTTTTAATAACATAATTTAAAAGTAACAAACCCACATTAGAGAAGTTTTAGAGGAAAAAAATCTCAAAATAGAAACTAGAAAACATTGGAAGAAACAAACCCAAATATAGCCCTCTTTCCTATTTTTTGGAGTATTTCTGGAATTCTTTTAAACTTAATGAAATGTTTATTCATTTTTGTATAGTAAGTCTTCTTTGAAGCATTCCACAAGGCTGGTGCGTGCTAGGGGGAAGTTTTAGAAGGAGTTGTCAAAGAATGTGGGACATGTGCATCATTTTCAGGTGTTGAGGGTGAACCCGGTAAACCCTGAGGGCCTGCTTAAGGTTTCTGTCAATGGAAGAAACTGCAAAGGACCAGCCATCTTGGTCCAGAAACCAGGGACATAAATAATGAGAAAAGGGTAGGTTTTAGAATCAGAGACACCTGGTTTTGTGTTCTGGCTGTAACACTATTAACTATTAGGAATCCAGCAAGCTACTTTAGTCATTAAGCCCATGTACTTATTGTAAAATAGGGATATCATCCATTATTCACCCGATGAAGTTCTGTTGAAGAATGAGAAAACATACAAATATTATAGCACACAGTTCCAGCACTTAAAAGGCAGCTATTATTAAGATAAAATCAAGTTCTTCTCTGAATAATGTTCTGTTACTTTTTCCAAAAGGAAACAGAAATAAGACATGACTTTGAATATTATAGAAATCTTCCTAAAATCAGAGTAAATTAGGCCTCTCAGAAAAGGGAACGGAGGCCGAGAAAGGTTAGGTGAAACATTTTTTGAGTTAAAGGATGCAGACATTTTCTAATACAAACTCACAGAAGCTAACCCAGGATCCCTGCCAGTCCTATACCACTTTTCTGCCAAATATTTGAAATAACACTAAAAACTACTCACAGTTAAGTATTCTCAAGTACATATCTTTATTAACAAAAGATAAAATACAAAATAAATACCAATGTCAGATATTATGTTGAACCATCCTATGTTAAGGAATATGAAAACAAATTTTTGATATTCTTAAAGTAGGTAAGAATTAGATCTACTTGCATTGCTGTTTTAATTTCATAGTAGTCTGAATCTAGACACCAACTATATCCACAGTACTTGATAAATTGACTGAGTTACTCTCCTACCACTACTACCTCTGAGAAAGCCATTAAAAGTCTGTGTACTCATGTCAGGGGTTAACAGCCTGTATTCACTGATCTTGCTGTCAGTATTCTCTTCACAGCTTTCTTAGAAGAGGCTTGAGGATCATGACAATCTCAGTTACCAATATCCCTACAACCACTATAACTTTGTAAAGAAACCTTCAACTTCAGGTTTTGTGCTCAACATGTTTTACAAAGTGACACTTGCTGCTATGAAGATTAGGTATGCCAGATACTCTATAGTCTTTTAAAAATCTAATTTAATATTCATGATTGCTACATAAAGGCAATCACAATTAAACCAACAAATAATATCACAAATCATATCTTCTATGATAAAGGGTTTCTATGTCTAAAGGCTCATGTCCAGAATGATAAAAGACCTAGTACTGATCAATCAATACTGATTCAAGAATGAAAAAATAGTTGTTTTTCCATTCAAAGGCTAACACATTACTTCTGGATGTAAGGTACAAGGAATGTATTAAACACCAAATTTAATAACCAAATGAAAAACAGATTTATTACTACACAGATTGACACGGGGGAGGAGATTCTTTACATTTTCTATAGATTTCCTTTCAGTGACCCAAAGCCACTGAAATAATTTTTTTTTAACTTCAGTCCAGGAAAACCTTAGAAGGCAAACACAATTATTATAAAATAACTGCAATTATAGAGTTACCAGAAGTTTTTTAAAAATAAGGCTCTGGTTTTGAGAAAGAATAACTAATTTACCTTCAAAATGTGTACTAACACTAAATAAAGGGCCATAAAAATTGTGAAAATAAAGTTTGAGATTTAATAACTGTTGAGTAGAAGACACTCTTGACAGGTAGAGAGCCAAGGCCTCTTTCCACATCACCAGTATAAAACTGAAAATAAAATCTTAATCCACACTTAATGTACCTCCTCTTTGTTTTTCTTCTTTGTTTTGTTTCTTCAGTGTGGAAAGGAATGAATTTACTTTGAGCCTTCTGAAAGCTTTATTAAAGTCAGGCAGCAAGAAGACTATACAAGGATTTTTCTATCTACAATCATCAGCAAGAAGCTGAAAAGAACATATCAGTTGTGTCTATCTTAGATGATCTTTTATGATTAGTTACTACTGTCCAAGGAAAGAGGCCATGGGGTCATCTGGCCTCTGACGTTTCATTCTATAGGCCTCCATTTCCTCTTCAGTGGGTTCCCGAGTTTCATATATGATATTGTAAGGACGCTTCCTCTCATCAATCTGCATGATCTCCTTGACATGAAGAAGGCGGGCCTCCTCTGCATTCAGTGCCTATAGTGAGGGGGAAAAAATGAGCATCACAGCTCCACATTAGATCTCTTTTGTTCAAAAGTGGCAGAGTATCAAAAGATTCCACTGAATATGAAGTGCTACATCAAAAATCTAGACTTCCAAAAGAGCTTGAGAGTCAGCTCTTCCACTGTCAAGGTACAACTAATCACTATTTGGCTCATATGACATTTTCATAGAGCACAAAACATTCTATGACACTGAGTGTTAAAGAAATTGTATTTAATAACAATTTAACAAGGTTAATTTTAGTGATACACGCTTGCAACTGATGCTTCTGGTGGAGAGTGCAATTTTGACTATTCCCAAGGACTAGCTGAAATTTACAAATTATGGAGGTAGAGGCAATTCTTTGTGGGAAACCTGTCAATAACTCTAAAACACAGCTTGACAAAGCACATTTCTTCAATGCATAGTGATATTTATCAAATATTACAAGTACCTACACCCACAACATCTTCATTAATGTGACCTGGACATATCACCCAGACTCAGCTCATTTCCTCATTTTTAAAATGAGCCTTTAAAGGGCTGGCTGCTTAGCTCAGTTGGTTAGGGTGCGATTTTTTAACACCAAGGTCAAGGATTTGGATACCCATACTGGCCAGCCAACTAAAAAAACCCCCAAAAATGCCTAAAATGAACATACAGACAAGACTAGATCATTTCCTAAAGTCTCTACAAATAAAGAATATTGTTTTTGTTATTTTTACTATTTAGATTTTACAAAGTACCTTTTTCAATTTGTCGTGTTTCTTTTCTTCATCATCACTATCTGAACTGCTCTTTCGATGCTTCTTCTTCTTCTTTTTCTTCTTCTTTTTCTCCTCTTTTAGTTTTTCCTGATGCATCTGAGAGGGAGGATTGAAATACAGTGTTATTGATGTGAAAACAAACTCCAGAGCAAGTTTTAAAGTCCTCCCTCCAGGATATTTGTTGTCCCTCAGGACAGATGATTATAGACTTACTTCCATGAGGGTTTGTGGTTTCTTCACAGATTCTTCTCCAGTCACATCATTTATAACACATTCCTCTGAATTCTGTGGGAAAGTATACATAATTTGAGTCGGGTGTCATAGTAACTGATCAACTAAGAAAAAATTAACATTTGAAACATGAGAAGATATGTTTTATACAGAGTTTGATTTAAGAGCTTTGGTTGTTTTATGCCTTTAAGAACCAGGGGACAAATACTTACAACAATCTCCTTCCCAGCTTCTCCAGTACAATAGGAATACTTGACAAAAGAGTGACAGCATTTGTATCCCCATCGGCCGTCTTTCCAGTAAGATCCCCAGATATGCTGCAAAGAGAGAGGTTACTTAAACAGGAACCTGAAATTAGGGACTTTCATACATTGTTGATAGGAATATAAAACAATATAGTGCCTTTATAGGTAATCTGGGAGAAAAATTATGGTGATTCTAGAGTTCGCTAACTGGGAGAGAGTCACCTGACCTCAAGTGTGAGAAGCAAGCATTGCAGTTACAATGGTCTGAAATTTGATTCCCAAAAGCCTAGGAAAAAATTCAGGATATCTGACTTCTCTTTCACATTTTTGCTATTTTTGGAAAAATTCCATAAAACAAAGTTAAAATGTTGAACTAAAAAAAAGGCATAGCAATGATTAGCTAACAAAGCTGTAATAGAATAATGTAATCCAGAGCAAAACTAATAAGGACACAAAACGATTATAGTTTAACACATACTGTGTGATTGTGGATCTTCACATCCTCCTCATACTTAGAGCAGGCAACAGCCCGCTCCTGTCCTTTGATGACTGTTCCATGTCTTGAGTACTCCACATAGTCTTCAGTTTGGGCTAAAAGCAATTCAGCTGGAGGGGCATCCAAGTGTTCTTGGCCACCATACTAAAAGGACATTGGACATTATTAAATACATTTTACAACAAAGCTTTGCATTTAAATCTCTGTGAAAGAGTTTATTTCCAATCGGAAAGATTAAGGGAACATTCTTTACTGTGCTTTGTTATAGAAACACAGTGAAAAAAAATACCAAATTTTCATAGGCAAAAAAGAATGTCTTAGTCACTATTTACTTGTTAACTGTGATAAATTACAAGATAGCCATAAATTCCTTTCATCCTTGTATGCATGCCCTTTTGTCACATGACTTTGCTTCCTTTTCCATCAAGAGATGAAGTCTGTTTCTCTATCCCTTGAATCTGGGCTTGGCCATTTACTTGCTCTGGCCAATGGGAAGTTGGCAAATGTGATGCAAGCAAAAGCACTTGTGCACTGGGGCATACTTTTTGTTGCTATTCTCTGGAACCCTGAGAATACCATGTAAAAAAGGTGGGCTAGCATACTAGAGGGTGAGCGACCATGATGGATGGGGATAAGGTATCCCAGATGAGGACCCCTTAGACAATCAGCCTGCTAACTACTCAATAACAGAGTGAGGCCATCTTTGATCCTCCAGCCTCAGCTGAGAGGGCCAAGACCAGGAGACCCAGCTGACACAGAATTGTGAAAAATAATAAATGTTTATCTTAAGCTCCTATGTTTTGAGGTGGCTTGTTTTGCTGCAAAGGCTCACTGATTAAAAAAAAGGGCATATCAATTGACTAAGTCAATGGAAGGAAAGGACTCTCTTTGTGTTGTATTCTAAATGTAAAATGAATGCTTATTAATTAGTTACTTCT